TGTCCCCGCACCCCATGTTCCCACTGTGCCCCTCCATGTSCCCCTTGTRTCACCCCTGCATCCCCCTATGCTTGCTCGTGTCCCCCATGGATGTCCAGGTCCAGAAATAGGGAGCGGTTTTGCCTGCCATGGGCTGGCTCTGGGGATTTGTCCCCCAGCTCTCGCCACACAGAACTCAAATCCAATTCCTTGGCTTTGGGGGAATCGGCCTCCGGCACACCAGGGGAAATAACTTGTTTTGAKACAACARCCTCGAGGWGGGGAGGTTGTGAGGGGKTCTGGGGAGGTCCTGGGGGGCTGTGGAGGGGTTCAAAATCTCTCTGTTCCTTGAGCCTCGATGGGTCTGAGCAGCTCCAGCACTGACCTATGGAAYCTGCTCCATCAGCATCAGAGACCAGCTGAGGGCTCCTGTCAGGATCTCACTAGGGAAAATCAAGAGATGACAATCAGCTGATGTGACCCTGAGATGCTGAGATAACTGTGGATGAGCGATGGTCATGATCAAGAGATGGCCATCACATGGCCATCACATGGCCATGACCATAGGGTCACCCTTGGGATGAGCCTGAGGTGTCCCTGAGGTGCCTTTGAGGTGGCTGTGCCCAGGTGMKGGTGRAGCAGWGGTTCCTGAGGACATGAAGAGAGAGGGCTGAGGTCACAGACCTRGTGCAGAGAGCTGAGAGAGGCAACCTGAAGCGAAGAATCCCAGCGGATCCAGGCAGGGAAGTGCAGGGAGGGGCCTTCTGGGGACAGGGGACAGCAGGAATAGGGGAGACCAGGAATGGGGAAGAATGGAAACGAGGGACAACAGGAATAGGGGACACCAGGAAGGAGGTACATCGGTAATTGGGGACACTGAGAACAGGGGACGCTGGTAGTGAGGGACACTGGCAAAGGGACAGAAGGAACGGGACAGCAGGAATGGTGGGCATAGGGAGTGGGGTGACACGTGGTATGAGGGACATTTGAAATGACAGACAGAGGGAACGAGGGACACGGGGAATACGGGTCACTGTGATGCAGAGACACCATAAACAGGGGACCATCGTAAACCAATGTTATCAAAAATTGGGTAAAAAACCCCCAAAACTCCTTAACACCAATGTAGCATTAAGAAACAGGATTCTTTATTTGTCCAGATGCACAAGGGGGTATCTCCTCCTTAAGTCAAGCATGCCTTCTTCTTTCCTCAGGATTATTTTGCAAAACAAATTGCCTATTTTTCAACAATCTGATTTATTAGTTTCTGCCATTTTTGTGCTTACTACATTCCTTTAAATTATCATAGTCTACTAATAGTAAACTAATTATCATAGTCTCTATTTCCTAATGTGTTTCCTGCTGTTTTATTTCTATTATTTTTCACCCGTTTCTTTGTTCAGTTTTTTATGCTTCTCATCCCCCTCCCCTCCTTTTGGGGTACTCTGTCCCCTGTTTC